AATACTCAGAAACAAAGTTGATAAGTCACCTGCAYCATATTTGCAGCCAGCACCTGATTTACCGAGTTTCTGCAAGTCAACAAACCCCACTGAAATATTTTTGCAGAATAATTCATTAAAGTTTGAATAAAATGGAAAAATACATTTTTATACCTATTTTTTAAAAGTAAATACTTTTTGGTTTGGGTTTTTTTTTTTAATTTTTGCCATTAATAGAAGAATTCGCAAAGATTTGCAAATTTATTGAATGTTTCAATAATTCCTGTTTAAATCCAACTATTTTATTTGGAAGTTACAAAGATCTCATGCCTGTTAGAAACATTTAAATAAAAGCAAAGTTGAGGTCTCATTACAAGCCAAAAATATTTATGTATAATCTTTAAGCCAAATTAGTGGTGTTACTTGGGAGAATTAGGTTTTATAAGCATCTGAAACATGAACCCTTTGTGTTTTGTACTTTGATTTTTGCCAACAGCAATTTTGTGCCAGTCCAGTGAGAGACCTCACTCACCATTAATGACATTTGAAATGAAGCAAACACAATACTTATTATAGAATTCATTACAAATTTTAATCACCATCTGTAATAGCATAGACAGTCACAGGTGTTTTTAAAAGTCTTGACTTGTTTTAAATCAGTGATGAAAAATATTCCTGTGATTATAAGGATCTTTGTTTTAAATTATTCCATCTAGATAATGAGTTATTTCTACGAGCAGTTGATTTCCAAAATCTCTGTAACTCAGTTCTCCTGGATCTCAGTGCCTTTTAGCCCAAGAATTATTTGGTCTTTTAAAAACTTGCATCACTAGGCAAACACACAAGTCTAATAAGCAGAATTCATGTTGTGGTGCTAAATGCTGGTAGAAAACAGAGTAGGTGGTACAACACTATGGAACAATTCCCTRAATCATTTAAAGCTGATTAAATTGTGTTGATCAATCATTCTAAATAACTGAGGAGGAACAAAACTGAGCWTTGTGAGGAATGAGGATGGGGCATGATTTTTCAGCAAGAAAAGCTTTCCTGGCTTAGCATGAAAATATAATGTGTTAACAGAGTCTTAAAATCAATATACCATGAATTAGCAGTCAGCAGAGAACAGCCAGATGACAGGGGGAATATGATTCATTTCTTAGAATGACTAAGATCTCAGGCAGCTTGTTGAGGGGAATATTTGGAGATTGTGAATAGAGTTAAAAGAAATTCCTTTAATTTGATCTGGAAGTGTGTTTATGACAGACATAAAGCACTTGAATTCTACTGAGGATTTCCTCTTGTGCTGCAGTCATCCTGACTCTGCTCTTYACAGCTGTTTTTTGAGTACTGACTGCTGAGCCAGACAAGCCAGTCCTCTTACACCTTAATGCATGGAAATGAAGTTTCCAGTTCTAGATGAGTAATTAGATAACCCAGCACTGAGGATGTAACGATAATGAAGTGAAGAGGAAAGGATCCCTCAATAATCAGATCCTTTTCAGGCATTTAAAAGAAAATACGTTTTGATGTTTTTCAAAAGACACTCAGCTGCCTTATTCCACCTCTTTCCTTTCTTTCATTTCAGCTTAAAAAATTACAGTTTTTTCATTAGACAAACAACATCCATAGGTGCTCTGGATGCAAACGAATGTGGATTGCCTTAATATGGGAAGTGACAGCCCCTGGCATTTGTCTGAATATTAATGCTGAATCAGATGGAGAAATCATTATGGCTGATGGTTTTGGTTATTAAGTTTAAAATGTCAGAAGCCTGAGTTTAAGTTTTCGTGACAGCAACAAATGTTTTGTAATTTTTTTAATGCTTAAGTTTCAATTTAAATTCAAATTTCCACTTCTTTTTTGTCTTATTTTTGGGCTTTCAAAGTCCAGGAACTTTTACTTTTGGTGGATTGGGARAAATATGAAATCCACATTGAATTGGGAGAAAACTCCTGCTATCTGCAGTTGCAGGTAACACTTTGTGCTATTTTGTGCTATTGGCCTCTCTTTTTTTCTCGTGGGATCATATAGAAACCTATTCAGAGGGGCTCACGGCCAATTTTTTGAGTACTCCCAGCCTGGGCCAGATTTCCAGAGCTGCATTCTGCAGTTCCCACTGMTGTGTTTACAGACAGACGCTCAACAAAGCCCTCAAGCTGTTGAGTTCTTTTGAAAACCTGGCCACACATTTCTGTATTGGCTTTGGATATAAAAACCGGGCASTGGTGCTCTGTGGTTGAGCTCTTCTGCTATTTCTGACCTCCGAGGATATGTCTGGAAGTTGTGGTGGTGGTTCTTGAGAACTGTAAGCTGGCAGAGAGGTCTGGAAGTCTGGGCAGTCTCACTTGGCATGGAAGTGTGTTTTGGAAGACACTAAAAGACTTCAGAATGTGACTCGGTCCTAATCAGTGAAACATGTTTGTGTCTCTCATGAAGTTCTGGCCACACAGCCAGGCCAAATGTAGGCTCTATTAAACTCTGGATCCAAAGTGCCTCTCTGAATTTCCATGGGGCATATTTTCCACCTGTTAGTGACCTCCTGGGTCTGCAAGTTCTGTAGAAAACCTCCCTGAGCCCTTCAACAAAACAGGTGTGACTGTCAGATCTAAAGAGAGGAAAGAACTCACGCCTGAAACACTCCCAGTGGAGCAGAGCAGAATGAAAGAGTCCTTTTGCAGAGTCTTGGGAGACGCCCATGCTCGGCAAGAGAAGGAAGTTGGGGGAGAATCAGTCTGCTGAGAATGGGAGGGCAACTCTGCTTTGTGTCAGAGATTAATAACTCAGTAACCTCGGTGGGAAGCCTGACAGGTACAACCACGCCAGCAGGAAACTCCAGCACAGGCACTGTGCTTTCGAGCATCAGTCTCTCATCCCTCAGCCTCCCCATGCCGAGCCTCCTGCCTTACAGACTGGAGTTGCTGTGCTTGGAGTGAGATCCAGCTCTGGAGCCAGCACAGACACTCCCACACCAACACTTCTTCAGCCCCACAGCTTTTGCTGGGAGCAGCAGCAGGTCCTCAGACTGCAAATGCCAGCTGTGCTTTTGGGTAARACTCAGAAGCACCACAGTGACTTAGAAACTGAAGTCCGCAGCAATTTTGACTGCTGTGCAGTCTCTAAATGGCTTTGACTTTCAGAAAGGCTGGGACTATTCAGATGGTTATTCCCTTCTAAAAACATTCCTGTTGGTGTTTAACAAGTGTAGTATATTCCCTCTTTGGGATGTTGGAATGAGTTAACAGCCCAGTTCCCTTGAGTAAGGCAGAGGAGAATTGAAGATCCACTCCTTGCCCACATCTTGGCAGAAAATCTTTATTTTGGCAGAAAATGTGAAACTTCCTTGTTCAGGTGCCTGTTCCCAATTTAATTGTTTTACTCCTCCCCTTTGTAACACTTTTAATTTGGCTGGGGAGAAGAGAATGGCTTTTTCTGTCTCACTCATTGTGGTAGAAAATGGGGGATGGAGACCAGCTTTCTTGGGCTCTTATATTCAAAATAGCTATAAATAATCAGTTACAGGGACCTAGCCTCCCCCTCCTTTTAAGGCCTAATTTAAGTTCTTTATCAAAATGATTTAAAATGCCTTTCTCAGTGGGAAACTATATTTCAGAGCTTTTATTTATTAGACTTCTCAAAAAGTGTGTTTTTAATGCACATCCTGACTTTCTGCCAAAACTCTCCACTGTAACATTGGGATTGGAGCAACCCTTTGTATAGGGAGTTATATTTATTGGATTTTTACATATTGATAGAGAGCAATTCATCTAAATAAATCACACACAGAATTGGCACATAAATCTCCCAGTCTTCACTACTCACTCTACTATATTACCATCCTGACAACCTTCCCTCAAATACTGAAAAACTTTCCTCTTGTTTACTTTTTCCTAGTCGTCTTAAAGTGTCCATGACTTTCCAGGGATGTGGAGCTTGGTTGTTGTTGCTGTGAGCTGTAGAATTTGGGGTGTGGATTTTGTTTTACAGTGCAGGGACAGAACAACATCACTGCATTTTAAAGGAGGCCAAAGAGCCTTGAACTCTGCAAAATGTGTGAGTTTGATAATAGAGTAAGCAAAGGCAGATTTCATGGTAGATGTTTGAATATCTGAATATTTTAGGATCATGAGCCCATTATGGCACTGAGAGGGAATTTCTTTCTTCTGATTTAAAAAGTACAATGTCTCTCATGCTGGATAGCTGGTTTGAGAAGAGCAGTTTGCTTCAGCAGTGTCAGGACTCCCAGATTAAGTGTCTATGTGTTAGGCTGGTTCCCTCCATCCCAGGACACCCTCTCTCCCCCTCCCRAATTGTTTCCTGCTTTCTGAGCAGAAGTTGCATATGAGACAGTCTGGGCCTAATTATTTTAAGCAAATACAAACCCATAGGCCAGGTCATGGATGGGGACAACTCAGTGTAACCCTCTGGCAGTTCACACCAGCGGAAGCTCTGCCTGGCTGTGTTTTGAATCTCTGTCATTACAAATCCCAGCCATCTGACAGCCTTCTCTAAAATCTCAAGTTCAGTCTTTCCCAGTGAAGGGTTAAGGGCTTCCAAATTCCAAAGGGATTTTGTAGTACTGGGCCCATCACTCCAGAAGGCTCTGGTCTTTCAGACAAAAGGGCTCTGACATTCAGGCAGTATTCATGAAAGTTCAGAGTTTGGAAAGTCAGAGCTCTGTAAGAAATCATTACAATAAAAGGTAGAACAGATTCTAGCAAGTGTTCAATCACCCAGCGTGGTGCCACTTAGAGGCAGAAGACCTTAAAACAACCAGGAAGATGCCTGCAGAAGAAGCCTCTGTGCCAGCTCTGGCACTCTGTGCCTGTCATTCCACTCTGTGCCTGTCATTCCACACCTTTCATCAAAGGTGAGTTCAGCAAAGGAGCTGGGGACAGGCTGGGTCAGCTCAGCCTGGGCACTGCTGCTGTGTGAGGGCCACAGACATCATTTGATTCAGTAGAAGAAAATAGAAGGAATCCAAGTAAATATTAAGATAATTTTTATGATTGAAAAACAAATACCTTATAYGGGGATACTTCATGTAGAAATAGGGAAATGGGCACAAAGGCATAGTGACCTGCAGGAGGCCGTCAGTGACAATGTTGTCAGCATTCACCCCTGACTGGTGTCCAGCTGCTGAGATCTCCAGGATCTGTCATCGCAAACGTGTCTGGAGAAGAAAACAAACAAGGAGACCCTCCTCTTTCAAAAATCCTTCTTAAAATGCCCAGCTAGGACAGACTATTCCTATGGGGAAAGGGGATAATCCAGCCCTGCCCACTGTCACAGTGTCTCCTGTCGTATCAGCACTCCATGGATTTWTGGGTATCTCTGTCAGGCTTTCTTCTGGCCCACTGTGTTTCTAAAAGAGGGACGGGATTAGAGACTTCAGCCAGGGACAGGGTTCAATGGGATATTGGGAAGAAATCTTTCCCTGTGAGGGTGGTGAGCCCTGGCACAGGTTGCCCAGAGAAGCTGCAGCTGCCCCATCCCTGGAAGTGTCCAAGGCCAGGTTGGACGGGGCTTGGAGCAGCCTGGAAGGTGTCCCTGCCCATGGCAGGGGGTTGGAAATACATGATCTTTAAGGTCTCTTCCAACCCAAACCATTCTATGATCCTATGATTCTTTGACCATTGGTAATTTTAATGAAAGAGGGTTCTGTTACATTCCATATTAAACACATTGTTTACAATCTACCTTTAAAAAAACCATAAAATGGTAGAATTTTTTTTAAAATGCATGTAAACTTGCCTCAGAAGAACAAATTTGTTTGGATGGCAAACAAAAATTCTAGTTTTATTTTCTTTTTTTCTTTTTTTTTTTTTACTTGAAATCTGTGTGCATGTCATAAAATATTCCTGTGTACTTTCAAGAATAATTGAAGCATATGTACCCAAAATGTAACATTTTTCATAATGGTTTCAGACTAAATTATCCATTATATGGGACTAACACATAAAAGCCTTCCTCTACATCAAGTGATAGATCAAAGGGAGGCACGATGGCTTGTCCACATGCACAAACCACACCTCTCAGATTCTGAGAACAAGGATATGCCGTCTGCATTTTAACTACATCTCCATGACATGAAACAGTATTTCTGCGTCTCCTACTGCGGGAGAGTCAGGTAGTCCTGGCTACAAAGATTTCCTTTTACATTTCTCCCCTCTTTTTTTTTTTTTTTTTTTTTCTTCCACAATACAGATGAGATTTCAGTGACTAGTCCTGGGTGAGTCTAATTTGAAAACTAAACTTCGCTCAGTTCTTCTCAGGGCGGTGTGGGAACCTGTCGGAAGGAAGTGCAGTTCTCATTGCTTGGGTGGTAAATCCATGAACCCAAACCCCAGTCCTGCATCCTGGGGGGTGGGTGCTGGTGGAGATGTGCTCCTGCACAACCAGCAGCTTCAGTGGGCACAGCATGAGGATTGATGTTCTGTGTAAAATTCSTGTTCCATGGGTACCTGTCTTTCTGTTTTCTGCCAGTGATTGAAGCACAGCATTGTGTGTCAGACCCTACTCTTGACTGGCTTGCTGGTTGAACTCAGAGGTATTTAAAACTTTCTGTGCCTCATTTTTCTATCTGCACAATTGATCTAGTAATATTTCCATCCTTGTAAGGATTCTTACTTTGTCCATGTAAAACCCTTTCCTTCAAGTGGATGATGTGGGGGAGACAAATTCTGAGTGTTATTGCTGGTGAGCATTCAYGGATCACTCTCAGATAGGGATCCAACAGTTCCAGATTTTGGAGTGTTTTGCTGTGAGGTTTTTCTCACTATCTCTTCATGAGTAATAAGAAATGCAAACCTACTGGCTTAGTGGCATGATTAAAGATGTTTGTGTTTGGAATGTGACTGAAGATGTATAGTTTCATTTAAGTGTGTGTGTCTAGATCTAGTCTCCCAGGCAGTAGACTGGATGTTAGCCCAATTATTCCCATTAGCATCTGGTTTCCGAGCACTGATGTACTCCCATGATCAGGGAATAAAATTCCTTAAAATAACCTCCCCTTACTGAAATGTAAAAGTACTTTTTATTGTTGTCGGGGCTGCTAAAAATGTGAAGCGCACAGGGGAAGTGCTGAGTTGAGGCACCMGAAGAAGAGGCTGTGATCATGGAAAGGCTGAAACTTCTCCTCTGATCATTTCTGACAGCTCAGAGTGGTTCTTCCACAATTGGAACCACTTGTGCTGCTTATTAATATAATGAAACTTATCCTCCAGCAAAAACAGAACCAACAGCTGACACAGGAGTGGAGGGACAGGCTGAAACCTGATCTGCTTAGGGGTCTCTTAAAGATGATGGAAGACTAATAAAATCCAGTCTGCTTCCTACCTCCATTACAACTCCCACTCYCAGCCTGTCCTCACGAGCTAAAGTGGAATAATGGCTCCTTCCAGAGCCAAGCCATCCATCCCCCAGTGCAGCTGAACRGCCTCTAACAGTATTTGGCACCAGGGCCTGTTTTGGTACCTTCCCTAATCTCTGAAATTCTTTACTTTGATTCCATTGGGTGCTGGATGAAGCCTCTAAAATGTCTCTTCTTTTTTCAGGAGTAGACTTCTTTGGTCATGTGCTTTGGGCTTTTTTTATAATTTTTTTTCAGGTTAAAAGATGTTTCTCAGTACTTCAGAAAAGCTCAGTGTTTGGTACATCTTCATCATGAGATAACCATAAGAACAGAAAAACATTCATTTTTCCATTGGCAGTGAATTAGAGAAACAGTCATAACTCTSCATTCAATAGGACTGCTCAACACCAGGAGGGTAATCATGAGATGAAGAGCAAAAAAAAAATACTATAATGATTAAAAAAAAATAAAAAAAAACACCCCAAAGCTGAGGTCTTCAGGCTTTTCATGAAGGAGATAGGAAAACAGCTAAACAGAACTGTGAGGGTAAGCAGGGCGAAATGTCAGAGTTGATTTAACTCATTACATTTAAGTGGAAAATAAGGGATGAAAGTTTARTTTAAGAAAAATTAAGGAAATACCCAAGAATGAGTTTACAAAGTGCAATATTTTCTCTCAAAGCCGTAGGGTTAGCAGGTTGGTATCCAGCATCTGTGACTGATTAGGGGCATTTGAGATGGCAGGTGGCTTTAGGAAATGGAAACCTTACAGGGCTTTACAAATACTTTTTGTAGTTAGGCAAAGTTGTTTGATTTATTCTCGCAGGTTCTCATTGCATAGCCTGGTTTAAAATCTATCAACTTGTCTTAATCCATGTTAATATTTTCTTATAGACACAGTGTTGTGAAAATTCTCCAATTGGATTCTATAGAGTTGCCCTGGAGAATAATAGAGTTACTCGGTTTACACCACCGAGGGCCGTGTTAAGGTGAAGAACATAAATCATGGCATTTAAAAATGCCAGCCAAATCTTTTAGACAGTAATGAGATCAAGAACCAGATCTGATCATATTTGCTCCTGACAATTTTAAGGAGGCCTATAATTCCATGTGTTTCCCCTCTGTGTGGTCATGTTGAAATCGCCTGTCTATATCAAGAAGCCGAAGCCCCAGAAAACTCCTCAGCAAGGTGAAGGGTGGAATGGGGTTGATCTGCTGATCAGTTCACACTGCTGGAAAAGGAGCAGGAAAAGGCAGCCCTGMATCCCTTTGCTCTGGTCCACAGGCCATGAGTTACAGTGAGGCCGTGCRAGAGGCAGGGCCACAGGAGAGCTCRTGGTTCCCCACTTCAGGCTTGGATGGRAACCAAAACTCATCTTTGGGAAGAWATATCTGGAAGAGACACCAAAGACAAGAAAGTAAACCCCACAGCTGAAGCTACCCCACAAGTCAAGCCAGCATACAACAACGGACTCCCTCAAAAAGGGTAACAATAGGTAAAACAAAATTTGTGGCTGCAGGAAGTGCAGCCATAATGTAATTCAGGGCAAGTGGAGTTAAAAAACTCAATGAGCTTTCCCAAATAGCATTCCTGGGAGATAACTCAAGGAACAAATACTGCAGAAGCCCCAGCACAGGTTTGTTATTACTAGGGAAGAAAAATCAGCATTTGGCCAAACCTTTCCATTATCTGATATTGTAAAACGAGTCCTGCAGTGCTGTCTGGGATGTTCTAACCTCGGCACTGGTCCAGATCCATTTCCAGCTATGGATTGTGTGCCTGTCTCTGTTTGTGTGTTCTTCTGCAGATTTATTTTAAATCACCCTTCCTGAAGCTGCCCAACATCCTGATTTATAGGATTTTACTAAGCTTCACATAGCCTTTTCTTTTCTTTACTAAGTATGTTTTACTACTTTGTATTTTTTTCCAAAAAAAAATGGATTTTATTGGACAAGGGTTCAAACGTAGCTGCATTATGTTTGTTTTACGGATTTAGTATTAAACCACTTTAACACGTTTGTAGACCTGAGGAACTCGGCAAATACTATGAAGAAAATGCCCTGAGCTTCAACTTGCTGCTTTGAACTGAGCACAGTGAACTTTGCCTGGTTACTGTGCTGACACATGAACAACCCATTTGCAATTCAGAGAGAAAGAGAGAGAGAGAGTGAGAGAGCAGGGGGGCCTGATCCTGCTTTTACCAAAGCCAAAGGAAATACTACTGCTGACTGCAGCAAAACCAGCAGCAAAATCATAATGACTATTTAAGATGRTATTTCACAAGTACAGTAATGTGACAATCATGATAAAGTGGTGGTTTTTTCAGAGGCACCATTTGAATTAATACGGTATTTCCAGCTAGCTCTCCTTGATATGAGTTGCAAGAGGTAAAACATTTTTTTTTTAAAGTCTCTAGGATACTTTCCAGTTGTCAGGATTTTTATTAATTTAATAAATAGCTGTTATATTTTGAAGTCCTTTTTTTTTTTAATGATTGTCATCTTCTCCTTCTTTATTGTAGCATGAGTAATCTAATTTTTCTGCATAGCATGTTGCAGTTTGATAGACAGGTCTCTGAGGGAAGCCTTATGTGTCAGCATCAGTGAAAATGACTTCTGAGGTTGGCTCACACCCCCACGCGAGCGTGGAATCCAAATCACCCCAGAGTTACRCATCCGCCTGCCCCACGCCTCGCTGCTGGATAATGTATTCATTTGCCTCTGGCGAAAAAAACAGTGAGATCCTCCATTGCATACTGATGTCATGTGGAAGGAGCCATAATTGGGACTGGTCACGTGTCACAGGCACTGTGAGCTGCTGCTTTTCGCCGTCTGTGTGGATAAAGTTCAGGTCTCTGGATCTGGATCTACAGACATCGTGTGCTCCAAGGACAGGCAGGGCTTGGAGTCCCAGCAATTCATGCATATATTTCACCCAAAAAAAGGAAATGTAAATAGGCTGCAGGCAACCAGGTCTGTCTTTATTTCCCGATTCCCATTGTTGTGGCAGGAGATTTGTATTGGTCTCCATCACTACTTCGGTTWATCAGTAATAATTAATGACTTGTGCAATTGTATGTCCCACTTTAATCAAAGACAGATATTTCCAATTCAGAGTTGCAGCAAGAAAACATCCACAAATGGGCTGTCCTTTCTTTTTTATTTTCACAGGCAGATGCAGACAGGGAGAGAAAGACTTTTTGCTTCAGGTGTATATAAAGCTTTACAGCTTCATTTCCAAAAGGACTCTTCAAGACTGAGCTTCCCAAGTTACATGGCTCATTCCCTCCTCCCAGCAATGCACCCTAAATAATTTGGGTCCTGACTACTAGAAATCATCATGTGAAGCCCACTGAATGGACGGGAAGATTTCCAGTGATTCATCATCATTTTCAGATAAGTTATGCCCTTAAGAGCACTCCTGCCTTTTCTTCCTGCTTGTAACAGCTGGAGAAGTTGTTAGATCTGCTGGGGCTCTGGATGGTCTGCCACTGATTTCTGGGGATTCTGATCAATGCTCTTTGACTCAGTTTCCCTGTCTGCAAACAAGACCTTTAAAGGGCAAGGAGTCTCCAGGGTACAGAAGAGATGTGGAGCACCTGAGATGAAAGCTGCTGCTACCTGGTAATACCATAACTGCTGGCAGTGACACTAGAGCTGAACCTGCATACACGAAATACAGCTGTCATTTATGATTTCAGTGCCATCCCACCTCCAGGTAAGGAAATGGAGCTCGTTTTGGGGCAAATGTATCACATTCAGTCTTCTTAACCTTCAGTCTGGATAACTGCAAACATGAACAGAAGAATTTTATGCATAACATTTTAACTTGGCTTGATGTGCTTCCCAGTAGCATGTAAATAAACTGCCTGATTCGGAGCACTCTGTTCTTGACATATAACCCACTGCTCATTTAGCAGATTTAATTTTGCAGGCTTTGTGCATTTTTTATGTGACAATGATGATGTGAGGAGGCATGTCTTTATCACAGAAAGCCAACAGCACAGACTCTTTTTCACAAAAGTCCCTTCTTGCTGCTCCTTCAGAGCAGGAGCCTGAGATAATTCTAGCACAGGGTGAACCATCTGTGACATGGGRCAGTTTCACTTGCAAACTTTATAACTCTTAATTGCGGCTGTATTTCCTGGCACTGTCAAGTAATAATGTCGGTGGATATCAGATCTTAAGTACATAGGACTCAATTATGATCTTGCAGAACACAGAGGCTGCTCAAATCCAGTCCAGACTGTGAACTCACAATCTGCTGTTTACTTAAAGTATATAGAAAGCACTTGACCTCTTCTCAGTGGCATCCATGTGGAAACACTCGACAATAGAGGCCTTCCTTGGTTTTCTAAGGAGTCATGTTTCGACATTTTTATCTCCTCTAATTAATGTCAACGGTCATACACTCCCACTTCTCTCCTCACCCCACTGTTCCAAAATTGCAGGCACTTACCMAGCTCCAGTTACCCTGGATGAAACAAACTGGGCCCAATTTGTGCGTACGCAACTCCGGGGGGAATGAGGAGAGTCAGAGAGATTTGAGTCTGAGCTCTCATGTTCACGTGCTCCTTCACCACCACGAGCAGCCGAGTCTGATAGTCAGAAGCAAACAGTAGGCGGGGGGTAGGATTGCTGCAAATGTAATTCCACTACGAGAATATTTCCTAACCCACAGCACATGTTCCCACCCAGTGGGGAAGGTGTGAGCAAGTTCTGAAGGAGGACAGCGAGAGCGAATCGCATCTCCCTTTGCAACACTGTAAGTGCTAATTGCGGGCGGGGAGGAAGGGTGTAGCTGGTAGACGTCTCGGAGAAAGCCTGGGGAATACAGCACAAGGGCTCGTGTTGCTGTTGTCGAAGAAACCCAGGAGTGCTGCACATCCCAGCATCCCTGGGAAGATTCACTTCAACACTGCTGCGCTTTGTCTGCAGCCCTGGCCGCCTCTTCTTGAAAACCCTCATGGTACTCAGCGGGGCGCTTCCCAGGAATGCTGATGCTCCAGCCAAGGCCATTGTGTCAGGATGCAAAGGACACCTYCATGCCCACCGTCAAGGCTGAAAGAGCACATCCCACTGAAATCAGGGGCAGGTGGGGACTGGATTTATCATTAGAAAACCCTGGTAGCTTTTCGGAGCAGTGTACATCCTGCTTAGTAATTACCTTTTTCTACTAAAGAGATTATTTCTTTTCATTATTATTGTTGAGTAGGTGGCAGCTATGAGTGGTTAACAATGGAAGGGAGAAGTTGGTGAAATAAAACTCTGTGCTTTTAGAAGTCATTTTATATATGTAAAAACAAAATTTTTTTGCCCAGCTGTCTGGGCCAGGCAGCTGCAGACCTTGGTGTTATTTAGGCTTRTGCCTGATGCATTGCACCCTTTCACTTTAGACTGGCTTGCTCTCATTTCTTACACCGAGCAGAATATCATTTCCAGAAAAGAGCTAATGCTGTCCTTCTCCTTTTATATTAAAAAAAAAAGAAAAAAAAAAAAAAAGAAAACCAGAACAAAACTAACAGAATTGTGCCCTAAGTGAGATTGTCTTGACCCTTCACAAAGGCAGGTCTGCAAGCCTGATCCTCAGAGCCTCTGTCAGCACACGCTTCCAGCATAACTCCTTTGCTCACGCTGAGCTCAGCCATGGGTGCAGGATCAGGGCACCTGTTCTCTGTAGAGAATAACTACCCAAAAACATTATTTGTTTTTTTTCTTTTATACTGTTTTTTTTTTTAGTAGCTGAAAAATATGTGTTTGCTCCTAAGGGTGGAGCAAGGCGGGCCGTGGTGTTGTGCAGAATTGTGGGCTCCTCACCCCAATGGTGTGGGGAGTGCCTCCATAGTTTCCAGGCACGAGGGAGATGTGTCAGAGCGATCTGACAAGCCACAGAGATGGATTTTTCATGTAAAAGTAGAAAGGTATTAGCTCCCAAAATGTTCTCTTGGCAGCAGCAGGGCAGCAAGTGCTGCCACGGGGAAGGCAGGTGAGGCCAGCACAGCCCTGTAAAAGGTTTTGTGTTGGCACGTGTTGGAGAGTAGTGTAATAAAAACCAAGGTTTTTTATTCCTGAAAGAGCTCAATCACTCATGCCGCAAGGAAGATTATGTTTAATTAAATATTGAACCCTTTTATATATCTGTACCAGGCTTCCTTTCCTTACAGCCAGAGGACATCCCCAYATCTTCAAAGATTTTATAAATGAGGCTAGTTGAAAGTTTTGTTTCCCCTAGAACTGAACTTGAGCTACTTTGGAGCTGGAAACCAGCAACCCTTGAAAATCCCTCGTTCAGTGGAACAGGCCAGGAAGAGAAAAAATATACAGTATCCCAGAAGTGAGCTATAGGATGACTTTTTAAAAGCAGAAAACTTATATTATTATTTAGTACCTGTGCTTTGTTGCTATGTTGGAGGGCAGGTTACACCTCTTCCACTGAGTTCTGTAAAGGATTCTTGCACTACAGTTACTCCTTGATTGATTCCTACAACACTTTCCTCACTCCTTTTTGGGGAAACTTTCATATTCCTGCTAAAATTTAGTCACTAGGGCCTGCTTAGACATCCTCAGACTCCCCCTTGGATTTGAACTCCATCTTTTTTGTGAGTATGCTGTGAGTTTTCTTCATGGCTGGGATATGTGTTATCTTGCTCAATTGCATTTAATTTGGTCTCAATTTGCATATTCTCGTCCTGGGCTGAATCCATCAAGATTTTCCCATAACACATTTTGCCTCTGCTGTTCCCATGGCACATGTTCCTTCTGCTGTGGCAAGATCTACTTTGTGGATTCATCTTTTCTTTTAAGAAAAGTGAGGCTGTTTTTCCGAAGTTCAGGTTCTCGCCGTTAGGATTTTCTGTGCCTTCCCAGATCTGCAGTGATGTCAGTTAGCACACGATCTTTCTCAGTTCAGCAGGGATAAAACTCAAAATCCTTTCTCACTTCAGTCTCTCAGCTGGCTKGAGCAAAAGGCTGTGGTTTGTGCCGTGTCATCTGGTTTGCTGTTGGGTGTTTGGGGCTTGCTTGAAGCYATTTCTACAATCAAAAAACTACATTTTAAATACCAGCCAAAGTCTGGGCATGTGTGTACCATTAGGACCCCTTTTCAAAGAACACCTTTAGGTGAGTCACTTGACCTGTCTGTGCCTCAGTTCTCCATTTATAACAGAGGAAAATAATATTAATGCAAGTCTAACTTTCTTTAGATACTGCGAGGCTCAGTGCATGACCAGAGGTGATGTTCTCAGGTATTACAGTAATAGGGGTCACAGGAGCTAGATGGAAAAGTAAAGCAGAAGCTAGTTAAGACTTTCTCAGCTGCAAAGGATTAGTGTTCATTTTAAAATCTCTGGCTCTTGGCAAATTGGGAGAGTTACTAACCTGTAGCTTAAAAAAAAAAAAAAAAAAAAAAAAAAAAAAAAAAGCAGCTGAAACAAGGGTGTTAGCAAGTCTGGCAGCACAGTGCACCTTATCTCTATCCTGGTGGAAAATCAAAGGCACATTTCCAGCTGTGCCCGTGAGCACTGTTTGGTCACTGAACAAAGCAACTGGCACCTCGTATCCAACCCACAGAATGATCACAGCCTGCTTCAGGTGCACAAACAAGTGCAGAAATGAGCTCCATGCACAGAACTCATTGTTATTCAATCAAGCCTTTAATTGTAAATGTTTTAAGCAAGGAATTCTCTGTTTTATGAAAGTGTGCTCAGCATTACTCCGCCGCAGACATCTGTCATTCAGCAGGCGCCACCCAATAAAAGTGCTTAAAATGTTCTGTTCCTCAATTAAAATATAAACCAGAGCTGTTTAAGGGCTTTTACGAGGTGATTTCTATTTACCTGACAGATTTCCACTGGAGGAGCACAAAGCGAGATTTCAGTTTCTGATCCAAAGTGATCGTTCTGCAAAATAGTAAAGATTCAATTGTTTCAATTTATTTCTTTTTGGGGTTTTTTTGTTTGTTTGTTGGGTTTTTTTTTAATTCCAGAAATAGTAAAAATCCATGAAGATGAAAAGAACTCCTATGCCAGATAAAAACTAGGAGGAACTAGGAAGGGTCATTGCTGGTCACAMATGCTGTGCTCCCAAAAGGAGCCAGAAAGGTTTGGCCCTGGGCTTGTACACTGGAGAGACAGGGATCCAGGATGAACTCCTGGAGCTTGTACCAGCACCAGCTAATCTTTTCTTCYAAATTTCATCTGACAAAAGCAAGGGAAAAGGGTGCTTGGCACTGGTCTGAAACAGCCTCTTATTAAGAGAAACAAGACTATGGCTA